TCCCTCATTCCACTGGTGCTCTTCCCAACTGAGACATGGGACAATCTTTTACAGGCCTACAATGGGGAGGAGGGTATCACAGGGCAGGGGAAACCTGCCAAGAAATCTGCATAAAAAGGAGAGACATGAGCAGGACCACCCCAACATAACTAATACAAAAAGAAAAGTACTTGCAGCCAAGTGATGAATAAGGCTTCTTCACAGTACACAGAGCTCCTAGTATTTATAAGAAAAACGTCAGCAGGTGATTCACCAAACAGAAATGACTAAAACTAGCAATGCAACTGGTAAGCCAAGGGATGGAGAAAACGTTCTTCCTCACGGTTAATCAAAGAAACGCGATGAAATGCTGATGAAAACTACCTGCGTGACAACTGCTCAGTCATCAAGTGGAAACACAGCTTTAACACTCAGTGATGTGCAGCTATAAAAATGGTTCCATTAACTTGTGCTGGCTCCCTGAAGAAAAAATTTGGTAATAAAAATATTCATACTATTTGGCCTAAACAGTCAGTTCCTAGGATCACCTCAAAATGTCATCTCAAAAAAGAAAACCAGCTCTAAGCACCAATATTTACCCAAATAGGAGTGTAGTCAGGGAGGTTCTCACAAACACTTGAGTTTTTGGAGCAAAGCTCTGGGGCCCCTGGACCACCAGGGTAGCTCAATGACCTGTCACATCATGTGGGAAGGGTGTGAAGCAGCATTTCTGCCATATCCCTGCAAGCCTAATGTCTGAAGCTCAATGGAGGGAGACAGGGACCAATTCCCCCCGCACGCCAGGCCCAGCATGTTGCATGCAGACATGGGACTAGATAGGCTCATGTCAAACCCAAACAAGTCACCACCTCCTGTTTCTCAGTTTCCTCATTTGTGCAGGAGGGACAAGAGTAGAATTAACAACAGCAGCTGGTACTCATTGAGCCCTTATGCTACAACAGTCACCTCAACAAGGGATTGGGGGCGGTGTTAGTGGGCACTGTGAGATCCTCATTGTACAAGTGAGGAAACAGAGGCAGAAGTGGTCATCATACAGCTGGGGCAAGCACTTGGCTCCCTGAGAAGTTTTCTGCAGGGATAGGCCTTCTACTTCTGCGATGCAGGCCCTGTTTCTGAGAGCTGTCCTCTACCCAGCTCTTTGGAGAGGTGGCCTCATTGGGGTCTGGGAAGAGAAAGCACTAGATAGGCTGGTACATCCTGAGGGAGAAAGGAGGTGCTCAGAACACAAGGGGCATGAGCAGGCTGCAGCCTGCATGGTAGGGCTCCCACTAGAGAAGGGTTAGAGCCCATAGGAAATTTCATCCAGAAGACTCAGGGGACGGCAGTCACTGAGGACGGCAGGCAGGGACAGGAGACCCATTACACTATTCTCTCTGCTTCTGTGTATTTGTGAAATTTTCCCCAAAATAAAGCTGTAGAAAAGAATACTCATGAGTTCACAGTGATATGAAAACAATAAAACAAAATGAAAAGAAAAAGAAGAAAAAACAGAACTCATCCTCACTCCTCATAGGAAAAAAATGACAGAATTACAACAGAATTAAAATCACTATTTTGTTATCCCCAGGGAGAAAACTGATTTCAGTAGGATCATCCCTGGATGCTGGGGCTAGGGTGAGGTTGGAGGCAGCAGAGTGACCTCTTGCAGAGCCCTTCATCACCTGATGTGGACTGCCCTGGCCAAAGAACCTTGTTCACATGCCTGGAGGGGGCACAGCCTGACCTGCGTCAGTGATCTGCACCAGCATCACCACAGCACCTGTGACAGAAATGCAGCCCGAGTCCCAACACCGGACAGTCTGGAACATGGTCTCTGTAAGGGACCACTGGCCACCAAAGGCAAAAAGCCTATCCTCATTTAAGGAGCCCATAGACCTGGCAGCCAGTAACACGCATAATCCTGGGTCAGAGGGCACGAGCTAAAAGCTGGTGACAAAATTGGGAGACATTGTATCTTTAGTCCATATTCAGCCAGGGTTAGAGTCCTTGAATCAGAAAAGAGTGCATAAGAGAATGTCTGTGTGTGTGTGCACGTGTGCACGTCAAAAGCGGGACAGAAGTAGAGAGAAAGATGGGAGGACAGAAAGAGGCCACGTGCATACCATGGAGGCTGCTGGGTCCTAGTGAAGTTCTGGAATACTAGCATCCAGAAGCTTCACCTTCTCCACAGGTCTGAATTCTCAAGATAAAGCCATGGGGTGGGTGGGTGGTGGCTCTGGGCACTAGGATGCAGGGTCAGGACCAAGGGCTAGCAGGACCACCAGCCCGTCTTTGGGCCAGGATTTGAGGCCCAGGTGAGTCTGAGCAGCATGCAGGGGCAGCCAACACCCCTGGGGTCCTGGTTCCTTGGCCTAGTCCTAACCAAGCCAGGGGTCCCACCCTCACCCCTTGGCCCACCGTTCCCCAGGCCCATGCCTACGTGATGAAGCTGTGGTTGTCGTGTGACTGGCCAGGCTGGCTCCTGGACTCGCCACCACCACTGGAGTTGTTATTCAGGCCCTTGAGGCTCAGGTAGGCAGCCTGCACTGTCTCCAAGTCTTCACCTCTCAGCTGGAACCACAGCTGGGCCGTCCTGGGGAAAGATGCAGGAGGATGTTCAAGTTTGTGTGTATCCAGACCACCACCTGCAAGCCTCTGTAAGGCCGACAGTGAGTATTTTAGGGGCATACAGTCCCTGTTGCCACTCCTTGGCTCTGCCTCCGGAGGACAGAAGTGGTCACAGATGATCTGTAAATGCCAGAACATTATACTTACAAAGACAGGCAGTGGAAAGTTCTAGAAAGAGATGGATCATGATGATGGCAGCAAAACACTGTGAATGGAACTAATGCCTATGAATTGTACCCTTAAAGATGGTTAAAATGGTAACTTTTATGTTGTAAATATTTTACCACATTTTTAAAAAATACCTCTCAAAAGGACAAATTACAGTGAAGAAGCAGCCAGTGGTGGGCCAGACTCTGCCTGCAGGCTGTAGTTAACCCATCAGCCCTGCATGCCCAACACTGCAGAGCGCACACCACACAGGCAAAGCCTGCAGGATGACACACCCCCATGGACCCACAGCCTGCATGCCTTCCACAGCCAAGATGCTCCACGACCAGGATGCCGAGCCTTGGCTGCAGTGGGGTGACCCTGACGCACCCTGTCTGCGACCAGAGTGGTAGCTCTTGGTAGGGTGATCCTTCTCTCCACCCTCTTGAACACCCTCAGGAAGCCCTGAGTAGCCCTGGGTGCTGGTACTCCTGGCTCCAGGGGGAGGTCAGGGCTCAGGGACACAGGACCGCCTCCCGGGAGGACACTCGGGCCACTGTACCTGTCAAAGTGCCGCCGCTCACTCCTCTTCATGCACTTCAAGAGGCAGCAGGTGAGGAAGGCCATGGACATGAGCAGGATGATAGCACAGCTGACGATGGAGGCGATTACAGCCACCTTAAAGCCGAAGGTCTCATGGGGCATCATGGCTGTGAGGAAGACAAGACCAGCTCCCAGGCATGGCTCACCCAGACCCAGAAGCAGATGCCCTGCCCACCCTCAGTGAGCCCTGTTCTATAGGAGAGGCAGGGAGGTACTGGCAGCTAAGCTAAAGGTTTGTGCAAATTGTTGTAGGGGTGGGGCTATCAGGAAAGACGCCTCCCAAGAAAGCGGTGTTTGAGCAGGGTTTTGGAGAGTGTGTAGGAGTTCATGGTGGCACATTGTGAGAAGCTCTGACAGGAAGTTCAGTAAAGCCCCTCTGGCTCTCACCCATTGCAGCCTGGGTCCCTGAGGCTAGATGGCAGCAGACAGCCCTCAATCTGTCTTTGCAATGTCCCAAGCTGGCAAAACACTTCAGGGGCCTTCACCGCATATCAGCTGTTTGAGCTCAGCTATTTGACCTCAGTTATGTGCCCAAAACTAGTTCTATTAGATTCTAAAGGATGTTTTGGGAAAACAAGGCCCGGAATCCTAATTTGACCTATACCATGTACTCTCCACTATAGTGGACACTGCTCACATCGCCTAGTCCCCAGTCCCATGCCCTAGCAGGACAGTGGCCATCCAGACTGCAGACTACATCTCTCAGCCTCCTTTGTAGCTGCATGTGGTCATATGACCATATTCTGGCCAGTGAGGGACAAGTTCTAAGAGCCTTCCTTGCCCTACCCCTAATCCTTTAACAACTACCTGGAACACAGTTGCTGCTATCCTGGATCACACAATTAAGTTAATGACCAATAGAGTCACAACATGGAAGGGGCCTGGGTCCTACCATGGGGTACCATATACGCCTAAGACTGCCCATTCTGAGGGTTATAGGTAAGAGAAAGCTCCCATAGCCCCTGTTATTTTGGTTAACTCCCGTTATCTTGGATTTTGTGTCTCTTGGAATCTAATCCTAATAGATATACTCCTCAGAGATTCACCCAAAACATGAGCATTTTAAAGGCTCTGAGAAGTCCTGCAGCCTACTCACCTGACTTTTTCCAAACTATTTTGACTACTGAGCCCTTTTGATTGCACAATACACATTACACAATACACATGGTCTCACTTTGAAAAATGCTGTACTGGGTATTATTCATCAATACCCTGTACAACAAATACAACCAGAAAATCATCTTTACCTTTCGACTGGGGCCACAAGGCCAGGTGCATCCTGGCTCTTGGTATCCCCAATTCTAGAATTCTAGGCATGTGGAATATGCTATTAAGGTTTGCCACATGCATACATAAAAGAATGAATGAATGAATGAATGAATGAATGTAGAATAGGTAAGTGTTAGCTCAGACAGCATAAGTAACCTCTTAGAGATGACAGGCCAAGTCAGTGGCAGATCTAGGATCACAGCAGCTGCTAGGACTTGAGTTCACACTGTGGATGTGAGCCCCCCAGGGGCTACCAGCGCCAGAAGCAAGACCCTACACAGAGGTCCAACCATGACTTGGCACCTTCTCTGTGGACACTCATGCTGTCCAAGTAACAAGATCAGGCCCCCTCCCACCCAGGGCAGCAAATGATCTGGGGACAGCTCAGTGGGGATCAGGCCTCACACTTGCACACAGGGGTCCCTGATGACCATTCAGCAACACTCCCCTTCCAGGCACAGGTGAGGAGGCCGGATCCCACCATCTGGTGGCCTGTAGGGCAGTGGAACACAATGACAGTCCCCACAGAAGTGCCATCACCACGTAGGACTTGGAGGGTACCCCTGGAGGGCGGCTGCACTTGGATACATGTGCCTAGGGAGAGAGAGAGGAGAGGCAGCATGAGAACCCCACCCTGGAGGGTAGGGGCTGGGCAGGAGCCCCCATCTGGAATGGGCACCACTGCCCCAATGACCATGTGATATGTGGAAAGGTCACCCAGTCACCCACACCACCAAGAGTGGCAACCACAGAGCCAGTGGCCTAGGGACAAATGCAGAGCTGATCTCTACATTAAGTGAACTTTCAATGTTCTGAAGAGCACAGTGTTGAAAAAAGAAACATGCTGGAATACTTGGCAATAAAAAAGAATGAAATCTTGCCATTTGTAACAATGTCGATGGACCTAGAGGGTATTATGCTAAGTGAAATAAGTCAGACAAAGAAAAATAAATATATGATTTCACTTATAAGTGGAATCTAAAAAACAAAACAAATAAACAAAACAAAACAAAAACAGACCCATAGACACAGAGAACAAGCTGATGGTGGCCAAAGGAGACGGGGGTGGGGGAATGGAAGAAATTTTTTTTTTAAAAGAGAGACAAATTAATGTAAAAAATAAATAAAAGAATTCTGAGCATGGGGTTCTTTAAAAAGAAAGAAATGTAACTCAAACCTACAAATCAATAATAAATTGATTTTATAGTTATGGAAAAAAATAAAAAATCAAATGCATATGCGAAGCTTGAAAAATAAAAACATGCATAGGAAGACAATAAAAGCATTAAATACACAATGATTATCCAAGCATAGCTCCGAAGGCAGAATCATAGCGGGGAAAAAGGGAGGAAGAGAGAAATTGACAGATGTAATTGCATGAAGAGTAAAAAGCAAAAACTTTTATTACTCCCTAATAATTGAAAAAAAAAGATAAACATGAATGCAAATATTAGGAAGAGATATTTCGAGAATACAGGACAAAGTTTCACCACCCTTAATTTATGAAGGGATCTCACGCATCAATAAAACTGAACATTCAAATAAAAAAATGGACTGATGTATGAGCAAGCATTTCACAAAAGAGATACAAATGACCAACAAGCATGAAAAAAAAAAAACTCGCCCTCACAGTAACTGAAGAAATTCTAATTCTGATGAGTGCTAATCTTTCACTTCTTAACTTGCCGAAAAGTAAAAACAAAAACAAAAACAAAACAAAACAAAAACCACTTGCAAAGTTAGCAAGAGCCTGGGAGCAACTCCTCTGGCACTTTGCTGGTAAGAGCAGATGCAAACCTTCTGGACAGAGCTTGGTAAAATGTAAAAGAGCCTTCTGTTGTATAGACACCGGAGGATTTAGCCAAAGGAAATAATCATTAATCTGCCGCCAGGATTTCTACACCAGGATGTTTGCCTCAGAGCACATGGAATAGTGAGCTCTATTCCGTGTGTAGAGATCAGTATAGTAAATCGAGGTACATCCTGATGACGAATGTCAGCAAGGCCGGCCTAACATGTTACAACAAGGTCCTTATATAAGGACACAGAGAGACACTCCAGAAGTGGCAATCATGAGCATTTTTATAAAATAATAACAATGACGCTTATATGGAACTGACTTGACTTGTCACTGTTCCACATGCTTTATGTACATTAACTCACTGATCTGCATAGCAACTTCTGAGAGAGAACCATCATTCTCCCCACTTGACAGGTGAGCAAACTGAGGCACAAAGCAATTAAGTCACATCCTGATGTTGCACAGCTCATAGGTTGTAGGGCAGAAATTCAGAACAAGGCAAGGCAGCTACAGGCTAACTTGCATACCCAGTAACACACAGAGACACATGTGCACACACGCCATGTGCCCTTTCTGTCTGGTTTCACCTGTTTGGCACAACGCGGGAGGCACTGTGCTGCATGTTTGCTCTTGTTCCCTGCTGATGAGCATATGAGTGGTTTCCCATGTTGGAGAATCTGGAATGAAGCTGCTATGGATGTTCCCCAGCATGTCTCCCCAGCCCAAGTGCAAGAGGCTCTTCCTTCTGCTTTTCTGAAATGTTCTGATTTTGAGCATTGACTGGGTGTGCTGGTTGTCTGGCCCATACTGGCAGATACACTGACCAGGGGCGCCACATGGGCCACCTATGCCCAACATCCTCTGCACAGACTGCAGCCAAGGCTGAAGCAATGGTAGGAGAAGGAAAACTGAGGCTGGCTCCCCCAGGCTGGGGACCTCATTATTCCACACCAACCAGAGACAACTCTTTACCTGTCCTCCTTGTGATGCTCCAGCCAGGACTGCCCCCTGCACAGCAGGCACAGATGTCCTGCCCACCCACCCCACCCCGATCCTCCACAACCCAGCCAAGCTCCTGTGCTTCCAACCTGCTTGTCCTGTGGACTCCTCCATTTTAACTTTGATGGTTGTCTCCATCCTTTACTTGCTTCAGCCCCAAATCTCAGAATGTACCTGGACTCTTTCTCAATCCTCAACCAACTCATCAGCAAACCTGCTTTCAAAATATAGACCCAGGACATTTGTAGTGGGCTGGAGTGTACCCAAAATCCAGGTCCACCTGGAAGCAGCCATGGGGGGGCTCTATTATGGAATGCACAATACCCCATTTTGCACAGGTATGGGGACAGAGCACACCCAAGACTGCCGAAAGCAGTGTCATTCTAGAGTGGCCACACACATGCATTCACACATCCTGTGCCAGTGTTTCACGTGTTGGCACACAACCAGCCCCAAGGCTCAGGGAGGCGAAGCCTCCTCTGGTCTGGCTGTGCGGCCCTGCCCAACTCAGGGTGAAGGTGTTAACGGGGCAGCGGCAGAGCCAGGCTTCAGCTTCGGCCACGCATTCTGCTGCCCCATAGGCTGAGGCTGCCCAAGCCCCTCACTGTAGGTCATAACAGGGAGAGTCAACCTTTGGCTGTGTGTGGCCAAGCTGCAGTTAGTCCACCCTTTATCTCTGCTTCACTGAGAACCCAGGGGGACCTCACTAGGCTGAAATGTGGGACAGGGGATAAGGCTGTGGGGCCCTTTTGGTTTGTGCACTGGGGGTGCGGACTTCTAGATAAGTATAAGCACTGAATGCCTAATGGGTGCTTTACTGTTAAAGCCCTATGAGGAAGGTAGCCATCTCCACCTTACAGATGAGGAAACTAAAGGACAACAAGGCTGAATGACATGCCGAGGATCACAAATGGGAAGGTGGTGGGGTGAAACTGCTGGGCCATAGCTGTTGTGGAAGGTGCACATTCCGGTGTGTCCTGTGGCTGGGGGGGTTTGGGCTTCTGTCTGCAGCATTCCAGAAAAGGCAAATCCACAGAATCAGAAAGTAGATCAGTAGTTGCTGTGGGGAGGTGGAATGGGAAGTAACCATGCTGAGGGGGTGTGGGGCTTCTTTCTGGGGCGATAAAAATGTCCTAAAAGTGATAGTGGTGATAGTTGCCCATATCCATGAATATACTAAAAGCCATTGAGTTGTACATATATAATTTAAATGGGTGAATCATATGATATGTGAATTATACCTTCATAAAGCTTAGAAAAATTCAGGGGAAATATTTATGTCAATCAAAGAAATGCAAATTTGAAACCTAAAATACTGTTTGGCCTCAGCTTGGTGAAGATTAAAAAGACAAATAGCCCACCAGGTTGGTGAGGGTTCAGGGAGAAGGTACATACCTCTGGGGTGGAGGGCAAGGTAGGCCTGAGAGGCTGTCTTCCCCTATAGCAGGGGGCTGAAGCCAGGGAGGCAGGGTGAGAGGATGCAGCACCCACGCTGTGCCTGCATCTGGCCATTTCCCAGAATCCCACGCTTACCCTGGCTGGCCTTGGGTCAGTGGTGCAGTGGGATGCCAACTCTGAGTCCAGAGTCTGGACTTTTAATTAACCAGCATGCTCTGTCTCCATAGGCACCAAAGCAGAAGTGAATAAATGCATGTTTGCATGCATGAATGAATAGATGGAAGACAATAGATGAGAGCTATGATTAGCACTAGTCCAGGAAGAATCTCCTTTCTTTTCCAGGATCTGTCGACCTGGACGTGTGCTGGAGGTGAACAAGGGGTTTTGAAACCGGGTAAACATAGCAGGGCAGCCACAGGCTGGTCACGTGGCCCCTTCCCCAGGATTGCTAGGCAGCCATCACTTCCGAGTCCTCAATTTAGAGCTGTGACTTCTCTTTTTCTGTGGCTAAGCACCTTATTTCTTTCTCCCCAATCCCACGTAACCCTTGGGGAGGGGAGACCCTGTAGGGGAGAGGATCAGCAAGGTTGAGAGCTCTAGAGACACTTATAGCTGTCTGCCCAGGACCCATACCAGCACCTGGTGAATGAAAGAAAGAAGAGACGAATTCATGTTCCTTTAAAGATACAACTAGCACTTTACCAAAAAAGTAAGAAGCCTTGAGGGATGAACAAAGACTGGGCAAGAGATGTGAGGCCTAGTGACATGTTAAGGGTACAACAGAGCTATGGGGCGTGGTTACAAAAACATGGGAAGAAAGCCCTGAGTGTCACTGCTGCATGCCACCTACCACTTGGTAAGCTGGTGCCCACCAGATCCCAGGTGGGGCCTTCTTGCTTCCCTTGAGGGCCCAGCCCCCTCCAACCTCTGCTGAGCCTATGCCACCCACCCTTCTACCTAAGTCACAGACAGGAGCAGAGACTCCAGGAAGCCAGGCAGCAGGCCAGTCCTGCAGCTACACATGCCTGCTGGGGTGTCCTGGTCACTGCACCACTCTGGGTGCAGTGGCCCACCTGTAAATACTGTAGTGGCAGGGTGGGACAGGAGCTGGTCAAGATGACCTATAGCCCCAGCCCCAGTGAGGAAACCACCACTGTAAGAGCACCTAGAGCATGCAAAACAGTGGGGAAAGGACTAGCTGTCAACAGCAACATCCTATGCTGCGCTGGTTCCATTGCTGGTTCCACTGCCTTGCCGTCCAGATGGCACTGCAGGCAGTTTCACCACCCATGGGGGTCATGTGTCTCAAAGGACAGAATTAACCCCTTCCCAAGATGCCTTGAGCCTGTCCTGCATCTTGGTACCTTATAAAGGTGAGACGGTGATGCAGTGAAGGCACAAAGAATTTGGGGCACAAATCCAATGAAAGGCTACCCCAGGACTATGCCACTGTGAAGCTGGATACGGAGAAGTGCAGGGAGGTTTCCTCTGTAGTCTCATCTCCCCTCCTCTGCACTTTCATCAAAGGCAGGGAGCCCCTGCTCCTGGTAGAAGGGTGTTGTTTGAACAGGTCTTTCCTCATAAAGGAAAGCAGAAGGTCTGAGGAAATGACTCTTGTACGGAAGGGTGGAGAGAGGGAGGAGCCCTTGCAAAAGACCATAATGCGTTGTTACTTAGAACCTTCCCTACCTGGGAGGCAGAGGTCAGCCCCCTCTTATAGTGGGACTGCTCAGAATGACCCCTGGCCCCCAGTCCCACTCTGTACTGGGTCCGACCCTGCTCCACTACCTCCTGGCCTGGCCCTGGCCCCCCAGGGTCATGGAAGAAGTGGCCCCGCCCCATGGAGACCTTAGAGCAGTGCTAGGAGCTCAAGAACGCTCTCATTAAGGCCACATTCCTACCCCCTAGTCCATGGCAGCCAGGAGAGCTACACCTGCCCCCCTAGGCCCTGATGGGGTCTCCTGCATTCTCTCCCTGGGCCTGGAATGCTAGCAAGAACTCCTTTGGGCTGAGTCCATTTTCCAGATGAGGAAACTCTGGCCCACAGACCTGTCCAAGGTATCAGGTGTACCCTGGTAATGCCCCCATGAGACCTTTCCACAGGACTCGTGATCCACCCCAGGATAGGCAAGGAGGTGGCTTAGTGTCAGAAGCCTAAGGGGGCTTTAGTCACATCCACCCTGGCTCCCTGGACACCCTTTGCTATTCCCCACCCCCTGCCCCGCCCCACAGCCTAGAGCCCCCTGGACTTCCATATATCTCTGCTGGCCCCCAACAGCCCCTGCCTACACTTGGTGCCTGAGAAGTAAATCCCTCCTCCTCCCTCCCTTTCTGAAAACCCTTACAGACATCCAGCAGCTCCAGGACACCCCTTTTCTGGCAAGCTCTTCTTCCTCCAGCCTCAGCAGAGCCTGGCCCACCCACCTGCAGCCCACACTGCAGGACACTGGATGCTCCATTTCCCTCAGCCATTCCTGGGCTGGACCGACACACCCCACAACCTTGGGTATATTTTTCCTCAGTACTCTTTATGACACCCCTCTCCCTCTTTTTTCTTTACTATCTGCAAATAAATCTCAAATGAGAGGAAATAGAAAAAAAGGGAATAGATTTGATGCAAACAAGAGACAAATCAAAAAACAACTCGTATGGGCTCATTGGACAGTGAAGTGGGCAGATCTGTCCATCAGGGCCACCCTGGCAAGCTCAATGCCCCATCTCACTCTCCGGCCCCAGCCTCCCCCAGCCAGCCTGGCCAGCGGGGGTGAGAATGAGTCTTGCCTGTTAATCTTTTATCTGGTAACCTAGACCACAGGCCTATTCCTCCTATCCTCCTTCCTGAAGTCCACACAGCCCCCAAACCTTGACCTCACCAGGTAAATAAGTTATCATTGAAACTAGCCATGGCAGAAGCGAGGGGCAGGCTGCTGGCCAGCCACCCAGGGCTTGGTGTCCAGCCTGGTCTCTGTGTGACCACAGAGTTACTTCCCCTGAGTCTCAGTTTCCCTAAATGGAGTACCCTCAGGAGGAATTTCTCAGACAGTTCAAAAGAGCACCATGTACACACAAGGGTAGTCTAGAGAGGCTAGGACCTCTAAGACCACTGCAGTGGGCACAGCCACATGCAGGAAGCCCACAGACCTGGCTATGTGTCCTCAGGCAAAACACTTGCCCTCTCTTAAACCATTTCCTCTCCCCATGGAGTGTGGGCATGGATTCAGAGCCACTGGAGGCCTGCATTTTGGCCACAGCCCAGACCCAGGTGTCCCAGGCACTCCCCTAATGGCAGGTCAGCTCAACCCACAGATATGTGTTCTCCTCTAGAACAGAACCAGGCTAATTCCAAGCCAGGATGAGTGTACCTCCAAATCACTCAGGGGAGAACACTGAAGCTCTAGTAGCTGCTTTCATCTAGCAGGTCTGCTTGCACCCTGGCAGGAGGCCAGAGCTGGCCTCAGG